GTGGTTAGTAAATATATTTTCAGCAAGGGGTTCAAGCCCAAAGCACAGACATTTCATGAAGACTGAGTGCCAGAGCACATCCAGCAACATGATGCTGGTATGAGAGAACTAGGCAAGGAAAACAGCAATTCCCAGTCTTCTCCCGCAAGCCAAAGGCCATTTCTTCAGCTAGCCCTGGATTTCCAAATCCTAAAATCCCACATCCAACACCATATATTTTCAGCAAGGGGTTCAAGCCCAAAGCACAGACATTTCATGAAGACTGAGTGCCAGAGCACATCCAGCAACATGATGCTGGTATGAGAGAACTAGGCAAGGAAAACAGCAATTCCCAGTCTTCTCCCGCAAGCCAAAGGCCATTTCTTCAGCTAGCCCTGGATTTCCAAATCCTAAAATCCCACATCCAACACCAACTGCAAACAGTTGCTAAACAGCCTCATCCATAAATTTACCACAACATCACTACTTTAACGCCATTTCTTACTGCATGGCAGTGACCAAAACCTCATCTTGTCCAGAGGCAAATGTTCCCCAAGACATTACAAGGACCATTCCCCAGGTAGTTGTTGTAATGTATCAGCAACAGGACTAACCTGCACCACAGAACCTGGCTCCAGAGGTCCGTGGAAATGGGATGTTAGAGTCCTGGTAGGAGCCATAGGCATTGGAGACCCGGGCGAACGTGGGCAAGGGGGGTGTGACGGAGTTTGACAAAGCGTAGGGATTGCTGGACGTGCTGTCCTCTTGGTTCTGAAACAGAAGTTACCCAGGGTCACACTCCTGCTGCCACAGGAAAGAAATCCAGCTGGAGCACCAGACATGGCACTGCCAAACAGCCTCATGGGAAGTGCTTGTCCTTTGAGCCAGAGCAGACCAAACTTAGAGCAGAATTACTGCTGCAACTGCAAAGGCACTTGCAAGCACATTTGCCTTTGAGGAAAAGGCTTCTCTAGCTGCTTGTCCAGAGATTTTTCTCCCACCATAACCACGTTGAAATGCAAGTGAGACAAAATCTCCTGAAATGGGAATACCACACTGCGGGGTGTCAAATGCAGGTTGGGAGCCTTCAAGTGAGGAAGGCAGGTCTTGCAAAATACTTAGATAAAGAATACTACAACTTAGGTCTAAAGGTATTCTTTACAGGCAGTGGCACCTGGCTTGAGTCATCAGATTTCCATACAATGGAGAAAATTCCCACTTTTACAATATTACTCCTCAAACCAAACAAAATTAAGCCTTTCCATGTTTAAAAAAAAAGCGCCCTTTATTTGTGATGAATAAACAAAACTCCTCAGAAAAGAAACCTGAGGAGACTCTCCAATCTTTTCCTGAATGCTAAAAACACCCACTCTGGTACACTTCACCCACACACAGACCTAATACCTGACACTGGGATGCTGAGTAGGTATCACAGATCTCTCAGCTAAGAGCAGAGTGTGACTTGGATTTATCTGCAGTATCATCCCTATAAAACCTCAGCACAAGGTTTAAGAAAAAAAAAACCCCAGATTTTCACAGTTTGGTTTTTTTTTAAGGGAAGAAAACAAAGACCCTAGAATAGGACTAGCAGGATCTTTGACTGAAACTGAGGAGGTAAAGACATCTGCCACTGCCTTTCAGACAAGAATGACTCCATCAACTCTATGAGGCCTCTTATCTTCTCTCACAGATGATAACCATGCCCTGGCACTCAGTGAGAGATATTCTGAGCTGAGAAGCTACCATGCACTGCTAAGATGCTCCAACCCCCAGACTAACCTGAAGAGTTCCCTAAAGCAGCAAACCTTCAGGGCCTCATTTACGACCACATCTAATCATCCGCCCAGTTCTCTTCAACATTTACCAGAAGTGCTCACACAAATGTAATGGCCAGTCAGAGGGGTCTATTTACACTTCTAATGAGGTCAGACTCTCACTGCAGAATCAGAAGTGTGGGATGTGGGAGAAGACAATAAACTAGGGCAGAAAGCCCAAAGCAGCAAACCTTCAGGGCCTCATTTACGACCACATCTAATCATCCGCCCAGTTCTCTTCAACATTTACCAGAAGTGCTCACACAAATGTAATGGCCAGTCAGAGGGGTCTATTTACACTTCTAATGAGGTCAGACTCTCACTGCAGAATCAGAAGTGTGGGATGTGGGAGAAGACAATAAACTAGGGCAGAAAGCCCACGCAGTTCTCCATACCACGACAGACTCCAGCCAGGAGACCAGCTGACGCAGGCAGGGCTCCAGGCAGCTCTGGTTCCTCTTCACTTTCTGCAGAGAAGTGTCTTTCAGTATCTGGAATACATACAAGATGCAATCATGGTAACAATCATGGTTACATGTACACTTTGCCCACAAAATATTATCTGCAGAGCAGCTAAGATGCCAGAATACAGAGAGGCCAAAGTCATACCCTAGCACCCATGGGAGCCACTGGTGTGCTGTCTGCTCTGAGGAATGGCTGTGAGCTTTGATCAGAGCACTGAGGTTCACCTAGATGCAGCACACTGAAATAGAATTGGGCTTTGGTACTACTGTGGCCCATATATTTCATACCAGTTTGTGGCAAACTGGATCAGTCTTTTTTCAGGAAGGAACCCAAAGAGATCAATCAACTTGCTGCTGGGGAAGGGATTTCATTAGCAGTAGGATTTGCTACACCAGATGATCAAACACCTGGTTGGAATTAGCAGGACCTGTGTAAAAAGTTCCCTTATTTTTAAAACAGTTCGTGGAAGAGAGCAGGAAGCAACATTCCAGCTCAAAAATAGTATAATTCTGCAGCTGGATGCTTAGCTGGTCATTTTGTCTATTATGGGGTAGGGGGCACCTGCCTGAGGAGGATGTTAGGGATTCTCAGGCAATGCACATCACACTGGAGCACAGCAGCAACGAAGAACATGTTTGAAAACGACGAGTGGAGAAAGGCAAATACTGGGCTGCAATGCCAACAAAACCCTCATCCTACAGACTCCACAATCTATCAGTTCAGCATGACCTGTGGTATATCTTCAGCGAGGTCAGATGTTTTGTTGTGTCAGTTAAATCTAGACATCAAGTATCCAGCACTTGTACATTTATAAAGACAGTGTACATTCCCCACACACCTTCAGCAGTTTTGCCTTCATGGAGGCCGTGATCGAAGTTGGGTTGATGAACTGGAAGGATGGTGCAGCATTATTGGGATACTGGACAGGGAACATCACCAGCATCCTGACTCTGTGGTTGCCGCAGTGCACTGACACTGTACAGCTACGACTCACTGCATCCATCTGTGAGGAAAAGCAATTGCTCTGTAGTTAGATCTCCAAGGACTTTTAAACTTCTAGTGGCTTAAACTCATGCTGAGGGACTGATTCCTCTGCACACCCCTAAGCCGAAGTCATGCTGTTCTCAAGGGCAGGGAACACAGTGACAGCAAAAAACCCCCAGGCAGATGTGGACAGACTCGGCTCGCACCAGCAGACTGACAGTCCAGAATCCCAGCATCTGGACACTACAGCCAGCCCGGGGGGCACCAGGAATCAGGCTCTGCTCCCAACAGCTGCTGCACCCCACCCCACTTCATTTGGCCATGGAGAGCTCCAGGCCCAGTCCAGCAGTAACAGGCACCATCTAAGATCCTGTACCACTGTCTGAGAAAACTACATCAGGATCATGCCATGAGCAGTGAAACCAAGGGGTAGGGAGAAGAGACAGGCATTTGTCTCCAGCCTCCCAGCCCAGTTCAGTGCTATGTCTCCAGCCAGCTTCCATGCACAGAGGAGGGTTTGGAGTGCAAGGGAGATGTCGAAACAGAGGGAGAGAATGCAGGATAGGGAGGGCTCAGCAGATGGGGTTCAGAAAGAGCTGAAATGAGACCAACTGCATAGAACAAGTCGTTTTCCACTCTGCAGTCCAGGCAGAGAGGAAAACACCATCCAACCTTCTCAAGATCAGCCAGTGTACTTACTGTACTGAAACACTTCACTCACTCCCAGTGTCTGGGATTATCCTCTTTCTTACTACCCTTGGCCAAGAGGATCACTACAGCTCAAAATAAAACTTGTTTACAGACAGCAGTCAGCCCTCTAAAGGCTCTGATAAGCCAGCCTGCCCACATCCCCTCCTAACAAGCCAGCAAAAGGAAACTCTCTACCTCCACATTGACATTTCGGATCTGCACGTTGATCAGTGAAAACTCCTGCTGCAGTGTTTGAGGCAGCCCCAGCTGGTCCGTTTTCTTTCCCACCAGGGGGTCATTCAGGAAATCTTCTTTTAAGGCTAATAGGAAACATGGAGAACAGGTTGAGACAAGCTATAACGGACAGACTTTTGGCACTCAATGCCAGGAGGCAGCCAAGACAGCAGGTTTCGCTCTGTTCTCCTGACACACAGAGGTTTGATTTTTACCTGGCAAAGACCTATGAGCTGGAGGATCTCAGCTGTTGTTTAGAAGCAGGCTTCTGAGCCTTCTCTTCAAAAAACCAAACCTGTTTGTGCATAGGTTTCCCAGTAAGGTTACAGAAGCCAGAAGCTGCCTGCACTCTGTACAGCCCTAAACAGGCCTTCTCCTCCCTACAGAGAGCTTCCAGAGTCACAAGCAGCTGAACTGGAGCATCTCAGTTCAGAGGGAAATAACTGCAGCCGAAGCAGTCTCCAGGAGGAGCTCTGGTCTTTGGGACTAACACCCCACCACTCTTGGCTTTCAGGGAATGCTGCCAAAGCTCAACAACGCTTTCCAAGAGAGAAAAGAGTATTTCTGGTCCTAATAGAGTCTTAATTCATTTGTAGCAGCCGTTTGCATTTAATGTTGCAAAGCACTCTAGTGCTTTCACAGTCTTTAAAGACTCATCAAAATGCTGGGTATAGCTCTCTAGCTCCAACAGTTTTCAGGACAATAACCCCTGAAGGCCAGAATACATTTAAACAGCCAGGCAAGCGCTGCAGGACACAAGGAATTATGGTTAAGACAACAAACTTCACTGAGTTTCAGAATTGGTCTCTGCCCATGGCTGTGCCTGGCTTTTGCCTTGTTTCTTGCCATGTACACCTATTAGAGCAGGGGCAGCTCCTTCTGAGGGTGTTTTGCTGTGGCACCACTTCCTAAGGAGGCCAAATACATATTTTGATGATGGTTCCAAGAACAGAAGTGAAGTCACGATTTTTCAGCTGTCATTCTCACACTTGCTCAGATTTGCACAGACTATTCCTAGCAAAAAAAGTAAATTACAAGAAATGCAAGAAGTTGACCTTTTACAGGCATTTGCCTAAAAGTTACTGATTTTGCTGCTGAGACAAACATATCTGGTTTTACTGCTGCCCAGTGGGTTGCTGAATTCAGGTAAGTAGGATGCCTAGCTGCTCATTCCTGTTTGCAATTTTATTACAGCGCTTAGATATACTCCAGAAAAGGGAGCTGAAAAGGAGATTAAAGGAAGATCAGTGGCTCTCAGGGAAGATAATTATTTCTAGCTGGAGACATCACATAGCTTACTGAAAAGCTATCTCTGAGGTTCCCAGTATGGGCAGTACCCTCCCTTTGTCTTCGCCTTCCATTCCCTTCCAATTAGTTTCTAATCCTCCAAAGCCATATTATTTGTACAGATTCCTAAAGCTCCATAAGCAGCAGCAGCAGTGAGGAGAGCTGCACACCGAAGGCACAGCTGGGGCTTTCTGATTTACCTGCAGAGTTCTGTTCTCTTCAAAGATCCTTCAAAGTGCCTTACTAATGTAACATGGAGGCTTTGTCTGCAGCTGAAACACAGCCACATCCAGGGCAAGACACCAACAGTCCACAACAGCTAGAAAGAACTAAAATTCCTACCTTGGAATTTGCTTGTGCATTAATCCTGCAGACATAGTATTTGCAGCAAAATCTACCCTGCTACAGAAAAGCCATATTCATTCCCCTGGGCCACAAAGAAAACCCTACCAGTCTGAACCAAAGCCAGACCCACACAGAAACCACACAGGATGTATGGATGTGACCTCATCAGGGACAGTGAAAGAGTTAACTCTCTCCTGTGGAAAAAAAGAGAAGTCAGGCAGCCAGAATGAGAACACTTAATGCTCCCAGATGGAGCAAGAGAGGTTGTGCTACTCCATGCAGTACTGCTCATGGTGAGCACAGGTAGCTGGGGCTTCTTCTATCATGTTATAAAACCCTCATGTGGACAGAAGTGCTGGTATCTTTCAGGAACTTATTCTGTTGCCACATAGGACAAGAGGCAGAGAGGAACTTCACAGGGGATTGTTGGGCAAGAAACTTCCAGTTAGGAAGTTTCACTAAGGGACCTCTCAACTGGCTCCTTTATTTAGAGGACAGGCATTAGACCACTTTCTCCCCTTCTCAGCAGTTCAGAATCAGATCACTCTCCTGTAAAACCCGTCACATGGGGATCCATAGTATTCTCCACTGCAATACAGCAAGCAGCTGTGAATTTAAACCCAAACTGACACAAAGGCATGGGTGCACCCAATTCTTCTTGTTCAGCATAGCTATAGAAATCTCTTTAGAAACCTTTCTCACATCACCATGGGTCTCAGCTGCTCCAATCTCTTCTATTCTGGTACTTAGGCTCTTCAAACACTAACTCTCAATGTTTAACCTAGCCAGAGCCTTAACCACACAAACTCTCCTTTGCATTCCTTCCTTGCATGCCTTCTCTTCTATAAAGCCAAACTGATGCTTTCTGTTAAAGACTCTGACCCATTCCCATCCACCCATCTGGTAACTCAGCATCTGCAGATGCTAGACCTCCCCCTCTACTCTGCCAGCCTTCAGCCACTTGTGATGCATGGGAGAAGACACTGGCAAACATCTCCATGTTAGATCAGTTCACACAGCGACCCCAGCAGAAGTGTTTAGGTACCAGGAGTGATGAAAGGAGCTTGTGTCAGACTGCCTTACCCATATGCTCCTCTCTTCCACGGGCTCATCTCTCAGCTTAAACTAATCTACCTTCTTAAGAGCCAGAACTTACTTTACGATTGCCTTATTTGTGGCAACAAGCCACAACTGCAACCTAAAGAGAATGCAATTAAATTATAATCATGACATGGAAAAGCTTCTTTTTCCAGCTAGAATCATTGTGTTAGAAGAGAAAAAACTTTGAAGGACATTCTTGAGGAACCCCTAGGTGTTTTTCCTCCTCTCTGATGGGGAATCCATTAACTTTTTTAATAGTACCATGTTTTGCTTTGCCTACAAGGTTATTTTCTTATGCCAAGATCTATCTTCTTCCCAACACAAAGGAACTGGTGTTTGAGGTTCCACAAGCCATCACTTCTCTCACCTTCTTCATCCCCATGTCCAGAGTTATGCTGGGGCTCTGCATCCTGGGGCTGAAGGGTCTTGTCTGGCTCTGGCAGATGAGAAATCCCATCAATGAGGTCCTCAACTCCATCCAGGATATCATTGGCACAGAGCTGAAAAGAACAAACACACCCACGTGCTGCACAACAGAATCCAAGCTGTGTCAAGAGCCACCACTACACAACTCATTTCTCCACGCAGGTGGACTTGCAAGGTAGGTCTGTCCTAAGCCCTCGGCGTTGTTTTTGTGACAAAGACAGGTGATCTTCCACTTTCCAGCACCCTCAGCTCGGTCACCTCGGACAGCCTGGCCAAATCTCCTGCTCAGTTACAAAGCCACTTAATTGACAGGGCTAGTCTAAGTAACAGAGGCTTTACTTTAATCAAAACTAAAGCTGATATGATTAATTCCTTGAATGAATTTGTCAAAACTGGTTTAATTTTTTAGATCAAACACAATAGCAGCATGCTTTCTGGGTTTGATATTTACACTCCAGTAGGATCTAGGAACTCAGGTACAAACTAGGGGCCCAAGTGTTCTAGGTCCCGTATAAAAATGAGACCGTAACACCCTGTATTTTAAGTTCAGCACAGGAAAACAGGGAAGATGAAGAGAAGAAACATAGGGAGGAGAAAGGATAAGGGTGTGATGTAGTAAATTACAGCATTGGTCACCAGCAACATGCCATCATGTGTGTAGTTTGATCCAGACAAAGACAAGGACAAAAGAGTGGGAGCCAGCAGAGGAAGAGTAAAGGCTCTGACATGGATGAACAATCGATTTAAAGACAGGAAAGAAATCAAATGTTCACAGATATATCAGGTAGGAGGAAAAGGTCATTTTTCACAGAGAAAGTTTGTTACAGACCTGCAGGACTCCTGCAGGATCTGTGCTGGGACACATGCTTCTCAACATATTCATTAAAAACCTGGAATAGGAGGTGAATAGCGACATGACCAGGTTTGCTGATGCCACCAAGTTTTTCAGGGTAATAACAAGCGTGGCTGACAGCAAACAATCACGGAAGGACCTTACAGGAGTAACTGTATTAAAATGAAAGATGAACTTTGGTTCAGATAAATATAAAGCAATGCACATGGGGAAAAATGGCAAGTTCAAGCTGACTGAGGGAACTAGATGTAGAGGTCAGACTAAACTAATGTTTTCATGGAACGATGCCCAACAATTTAAAAACCAAAGTGAGTACTGAGAATTCTTTGGAAAGAACAAAGTTCAGATCCCCATCCCAAAAAGTATATAATAGAACTGAAAAAGGGTTATGAAAGGCAAAAGGACAAAGTTCTAGTGCAAAGGATAAAGTAAATCAAGACCTTTGGACTTGAAAAAGGAGGCAGCTGATGAGGAATATGATGGACATCTACACAATCATCAGTAGCACAGAGAACACAGTTCATTTCATCTTCAGGGTAATGAAACTATCAGGTTGTAAAATAAACAAATGAAAGGAGCTGGTTTTCCACACAACATGCAGAAAAAGCCATGAAACTCCTTGTTGATAGGATATTTAAGGCAACAAAAATTTACACTGGTCCAAGAAAAGACAGAAGTCTATGGAAGTGAAACTCATCAAGCTCTGTCAAATACAAAGACACCAGACTCAATAAGCCTCTAAGCTCCAAACTGCAGGAAGCTGGCAGGGCATATGAGAGAAACATCACTCCATGCCTGCCTCATTCTTATCCTCTTCCAAGACATCCAGAGCTGAAGGTGTGACAGGGCTATATAGACTACTGTAGCCATATGAACCCCAGGTCTGACCCAGCACAGTTGTTCTGGGCATTGCATCTGCAACCAGTAACTGCTGCAGGGAGCAGAACCATAGGACTCACACTGCCTGCCCCAGACTTAGAGGCAATGCAAACAAAGAGAGGAAGTGGAGGGCACAATCCCTACCTTTACCTGATACCTAAAGCACAAAGAAATAGTCACAGAGTCTTGCAGCCATGGAGGAGGCCCCTTCAGAGGCAATGCAGGCAGTAACTGCCCTCCACCTTCCCGCAATGACTTCTATGATTACTGTTAGACAACAAAGCAGTCTTGCACTTCCACTGAAGCTTTTGAGACACAAGCTCAGAGAAGCTCCATCACAAGCCTCCTTGAGTATGGTTTTGGGCTGAAGTGGAAAGTGAAGCAGCAGCTGGCTGCTGTGTCTGCAGCTCTGGGGTATATCAGAGGAGTGATTGGGAGTGCAAGGAAAGGGAGGTGAATCCAGCCTGTAAGAAAAGTGTCGACTGTTGAAGAGCAGAAGTATTCACATACCCTCTGCAGCTGAGAGTCGATCCGCCACATCCGCAGGGTCTGATCACGGGACCATGTAACCAGCTGGTAGTCTTTAGAACCTAAAAAGGACAGAAACAATTAGAGACTCCATTGGAAACCAGAGACTATCTTGGCCCTGTGTGTACTGTAAACAGATTCAAGGCAGCAGGGACATCCAATGGATAAGGCACTAAACCAAAAGGCAAAGTGAGTCCTTTTTTGCTTTGAATTGAGCCAGGTGCATCAGCCTTTGGGCCTCCCTGCACCACAGTTACCACACCTTGACATAGGCTGTAATTTACAGGCCAAAAGTACAAATAAGTATAATGAATGTGATGCAAGTTTTCCAACTAGGAATGAACAACATTTACAACAATATTTATTTAAATAGAAGAAATATCGTAAAAATAAATGTTTCTCAACTATAATTGTAAAGTGAAAATATCTTTTAGTTCATAAAATCTGTTTCAAGATGCAGATTTTTAAAACATTTCTAAGGTAACAGAAGCTGGTTCTGCCCTCTCTTTTTTTGGTTCTGAAGCTGGATGGTGCCAAGACAAATTCAGGTTGTAAGGAAATAGATCTAGCCACATACTATCTATCAACAGACAGAGGTACACAGACTTATTTATGTCCATGTTTAGGTCTTGTGATACAGTGTTATGTTTCCCTTGTCAAACAGCTGCTCCACTTAAGAATTTGCTGCTGCACAGCTGCTTCCTACACCCCTCTGCTGAGGCACAGGGGCTGCCTAAATACAGTACAACAGACTCTGTGGAAGGAAATTTGTGCTATCTCGGTTGTCTCCACATTGAAGCAGACTTGGAATGCTTGTATGATTGATTTATGTTGCTTGAGATGAGCACAACATCCAGCCTCGGGTATATATCTATTAACTCAGCCAAGACAACCAACTGTGTCTCGAGCCTACTTAAATGTTTATTCACAATGTCTTATCCTAACACAGTTCTCTATCACTCTCCTCTTTTTGAAAGAGGAAAAGCAAGGTATAGAGAAGGTGACCTAAATGGCCCAGCAGCTGGTGGTGGCAGAGGGCTGGACCAGCACTTTTACACAGCACTGCAAAGCTGTAGCACAAGTGACACCAAAGTCAGATATGCATGTCCTGTCAATGGCAGCTCAGATGCTGGAAATAAAGCTATGCTCTGTGTGGTTATCCCACCTCTGGCATGGAATCTCCGATGTTTAGGTGCTTATGCTGGAAAATTTAGCCAGGACTGAACTCTAACAGTGGACTCTCTATCCCATGCTCTTCCTCCCCTGCCTTTGTCAGCACACAAATAAGGTGGGTTTGCTTGGGTCTGTGGTCTGGGATATACTGGAGGCTGCTGATCCAGGCCATGATGTGAAGGGTTAACTGGCTAGCCTGCAGCTCTGAGCAGGGGGAGGGTACCTGCACTCGCACACCCATCTAATAGTTTGTACAATTCATTCTGAAATATTAATTTAAAAGTAGACTCACAGGGGAGTGGAAGCAATGAGAGCCACTGCTGACCCACTCAGCATTTGGTAGATTTGCTTTGTTAGCATGGAAACAAGAGGGCAATGCTTCTGTGGGCACTGCCATGAAACTAGTACAGAACAGTAGCTTGAGGTGGTGGTGGGGTGGGCAGGAAGGTGGGTAGGAGCTACTTCAAACAAAGACTCCAGCAGTGACAGCATTGCGGCCAGGAGCCAGGTCTCCACACTCCTGGAGAGCTGACAGCCACAGAGCAGGGAAGAGAGCACACCCAGCCCTGAACTCACCTTCTTTCTGCTTCCTCCACTGAAACTCCAGCACCACATCATCATGTCCCACAAAAGTGTGCACAGGCGTGTTCAGGTCAAAGACGTTCCAGAGGAGGAGACTGTTCTCCCGACGGAGTTGGGGGACCATCACTGTCACTAGCCCATTGCTAAAAGGCTTGATAAAGAAACATTCTTCCAGTTAGCCTTGGGGAGTTATGCTCCCATTCTGCTGTTACCATACTCTAATTTTTCTCTTTTCCCACCAACACAAATGTGAGTTTTAAATGAGCTCAGCACAAACAGAACCAGGCCAAAATCTGGGAAGATCCAAGGCAATTGCTGTGCAAAAACCCCACTGTATTTCAAGGGATAAGATGTGGTACACAGATACTCAATGCAGCTCACTTAAGATGAATCATTTCTTTCTGCTGCTTCCTCACTTTTCAGCTGTGAGGCTGGAGGGATTTCACCACTGACTTTTTTGCAGGGGATCATTACTGCAATCTGCCTGGAGCCGCAAGAACTGCTGCCTGGGGACTGGGTCCCAGCAGCTCCTCAGGGTCACAATGCTCAGAGGAACATGAAACCCAGTCCTACACCCCTCGCTGTGGGGATGGGGATCAAAGATTCAAGGCACAGCACTTCAGGCTTCAGGCCACATTCCGATGTCTGGGGAAGAAAATGGATATTATTGAGAGCTTTAGCTTCACATGGCTGGGTGCTTGCTCTATAAAAGGGAACAGTTCTTGGATTTGATATGCTGTAAGAGCCCACTGTGGCACACCTGGAAACCTTCAGAGTAGAGGAAGCACTCAGAGAGGGAACAAGACCACAGTATTGCTCTGTGCAACAATTACCAATACTGGAGCTGAGTGGAAAAAGAGGACAGAGGGAGCAGCAGCCACTTTCTGAGCCTCCTAATCCCACAGTCAACCACCTGCACCTGAGTTTTCAACCCCCAGCACGACGACACCCAAGATTGGGACCTCACACTGCTAGTCACTCTCCACTGTGGATGCTGCTTTTCTAGGTCTTTTAAGCACCAAGAGGGATTTTAAAAATCAACTTAATAATGTCCAGCAGTAGAACTGGGGAGAAACCCTTCAGCATTTCTTTATTTCATGTCCCTTTGTGCATTTCTCTCAGAGCACAAGTGGGGCTGGTGGGAGTTTCTCACTCACCGTGTATCTTGCCTTCCAGACAGGAACCTGGCAGGGAAGGATATTGAGGTATTTCCGAGGCTGACGGTAATCCCAGAACTTAAAAAAAACAACAACAAGAGAAAGGCAAGCAAAGACAGGAGTCATCTGGCTATGCTTTCAGGCTGTAGTTTTCCACAGGGCTTGCAGATATAACAGAGCAAAAAGCACGCCAGGGTGCCCACAGCATCATTAGTAATCCCATTCATTAACAGCAGAGATGGCCCCAAAGGACAAATACCAAGCTATCAGCATCTGGCAGCATCCCTTAGACAACGAGTGACTTGGGGTCATATTCACAGTGATCATAGCTTGAGTAATTAGAGCAGGGAGACAGGCAGCCTGCTTGAGCTTTCAGAGCCACAAGGTACCCTGCAGGCTCTCAGCCAACATGCCAGTCCAGGCTGGAGGCAGGCCCACCCTGCTGTTACTGCTAATTTTCTAATGAAGAATCTAACCTTTTGCTTTGCTAGAACACACATCAATTGCATTCGCCTCAGAGCTTAGCTCAATGTGAATGAACTCCATTTGGCTGACACACAAAGCACACTATTTCCCCCCAAGTAAAAGGCCCTGCACAGCAGTGCTTGCAGGCAGCCTCTTACTGATAATCCTGTTTGACATGAATTTGGCAACGCCAGGGGATGAAGTAGGACTCCCCCCAAGTTACAGTAATCAGCCTGAGGCTGGAAATACTGCATTTTGGGAGGAAAGCTCTTCTGGCACATGTGGTCAGCTCCTTTCTGGCAAGCAACAGGCAGAGGTGGATGTTTTCAGCTTCAATACTGCTCTAATCACCACAGATACGTTTCAAACATAAATGCACCCATCCTTCAATGACCTCTCTGCTTGCTCTGAAAGTGCAGTCCTGGCGCAATGGACACAGGCAGCCAGAAACCAAATAACAAGGATCTAGATCTTGCCAGTGGCAAGCACTCCCCTAGGCTTCAGCAGCAGTAGAAAATAATCTGCTTCACCATCGTTCCACCTTCCAAACAGAAGTCTCAGAAGCAACAACTTACCCTGACAGAGTTGTCCTGGCTGGAAGTGGCCAGTGTATACTCATTGTCAGGATGCCAGTCCAGACCATGGATTTTGGAGAGATGAGCTGCCAAATACTCCACTGCAGTGCTGGGTTTCTGCAAGGAGAGACATTTTCCTTCTTAGCACAGAACTCCTGAAACTTGGTCTAGTTCTTTGGCATAAAAAGAGACACTAACAAGGGCAAGGGAGGTAGAACACCCTCCTGCTGAGGAACGGCAAATAGCTCCGCAAAAGTAGTTGAAGAAAAGGTCCTGTGAAGGTGTGGCAAATTCCAGTCACCAAGTGCAGCCCTGAATGATACTTCATAGCCAGTAAAACAGTTAAGTACCATAAGATCAAAAGGAAAATGTTTATGGGCACAATTTCTGGGGAAGGAGGCTATCTACATACCCTCTTCAGGCTTGCGGACTCCCAGTTCTCTCTAGTTTAAACTGACCCACAAGAGAGATTTGGGATAAAGCAGTACATTTTCTCAGTACTTATCTGTGACCAGAGGGATGTCTGTATTGAGTAGATAGCAGTATGCACAGACTGCTCAAAAAAACCTCAGCTTACCCTTTTGTCCCATATTCGGACATCCCCATCATGGCTTGTTGCTAAACAGTTGACATTTTTCTTGTTCCATTTCACCTGGGAAGCTCCAGCTGTGGCACAAACAGAGCAGGTTCAGAACAAGCAATTAAAAAGAAAATGGCACAGTAGTCCCTTGACCTGGGCCTAGAGCTGCTCTTGGCTCAGGAAAGGCAGTTCAGAGGAAAGATATCTCAGAAGCCAGCACGAAGGACAGCATGAAAATTATTAACTCCTGATTCCTCAGCATAGTGTTTGTGCCCTCAGGACAGTAAAGCAAGAGAGTTTCAACTGCATGCCTAGAAATCTTCATCATAACTTCTGGCCAGGGGTTGTATCCAAGTAAAATACTCATGCCCATTAGCGCAGATGGAGCAACCTCTGCCATACAAGAACTGCAGGTTCATCACCTCCTTCCCAAACCCCCTCTCTTTTCATTCAATTAATTTCCATGTGCTTTAAGCCCTTTTTTTGTCTCCCTAACACCCTCTATACTATCCGCTGCTATACAAGCAACCAGTGTTACTGATCTGTGATTAGAACACAGGTGCAGGAGAAGGCTGCAGTGCAGGTGGACATTGGGGCTGGCCAGCTGGAAGTAGACTCACTGGGTGGACCAGAAGGTCCAGCTGTCAAAATATACCACAGAAGTCAAAGACAACGACACTGTAAAAAACCTGGATGATGGTCCAGATATATGTGATATCACGATGGACTCAGTCAAATCAGATGGTTGGTTATTTCGAGTAAGAAACAAAGCACAGCTTCAGTTAATGTGGATGTGCAGATACTGTAAGAAATGCATGTACTGTTCATACTTATTCTGCCAGTATTTTCAAAACCTTTTAAGCTATCAGAAAGGTGAGATGCATGAGAAAGCTAAACAGATCTCAGCCTGCTGCTACTCCCCACCTCCACTAACCACCTCCTGCTGCACAGTGAGCAGATTCATCCTGACAACCTGGCAAAAAGCTAGTCCAGGGGATAAAAAGCTGCAAATAGACTGCCAGTTGATTGATTTGATCTGCTCAGAATGGTACACAAAGTCTGGACTAGCACTAAATAGCATCAGGCACAGGAGGAAGGAAGCAAGCAAGCAAGCCTTCTGGGGAGCTGGCTCAGCCCTGAACCTCACCCCAGACACCAGAACCGAACACTGCTTCTCACTGACTCAGTAAGGCTTTTGCATTTCTGTGACAGAGAGGTTTGCTGGCTGGGAAGGGGAGTGGGAGCCACTGCAGATGTGTAGCCTAAGGAGATCTAAGCATGAGAGACACACATTGCAAGGACTGCTCTAATACCGGGGACAGTAACTCAGGAAAAGGATGTTTTGCTCATCATCCACACCCAGTCCCAGCTCGCAGCTGGTGAGGACTGACACACACCACCTGTGCAGGCAGTATGGCAGGGGGCTGGACACCAGCCACGACAAGTGCCTTTCCAAAGTAAGCATAGCCCAAAGAGAGCCCCTTGTGTCACCACTGCAGCTCCCTGCACGCTGCAGGTGCCCCAGGGAAGCAGATAGAGCCGGTTGTTGTGCGCAGCCCCTCAGTAAGCAAGGGGCAGGCTGGCAGCGGCGTTCAACACCACTGCCTGGGGTGCAGGTTAGTTTCTCAGCTGACTCAATCAAACATGAAAAGACATGAGAAAATTACAGACAGGCAACCCAGGACAAGCAGTGTGGTCAAGCAGGGAGGAAGCTCCATGCGGCTGTTCATCAATGTCAGGACAGCCAGTCCAAGTACCACAACTGCTCTCCATGCCTGGGAACCTCCAAGGGCTCCACATCCCTTCTGAATTCTGCTCCTCTAAAAGGAATTGTGAACTGGAGCCCGTCAGGCTGCTCCTACATGGAACAATCACGTATGATTCTGTATTTTGCCATGCCCAGCCTTGGGACATGGAGGGAGGGAGGAGTAACAGGAGGGGCATGCAGCCATAGCCTTGCTTAATGCCTATATCACACATACACACCAAACTTACCGACTGCAGAGAGCGAGACTGTGGGCTTCCTGGTGTCTCTGAAACACAATGTGGCTAATGTGAGTACCCACAGCATAGTCCAGTAGGTCCACCCTCCCCAGTGAGCTCCTTGCTATTCCAGGAAGAATTTTATTGCTGCCTCTTGGGACCTAATGTGCCTTCTGCTTATCAAAATAGACCAGTGTTAAATGGAATAAAGGCGACCAGCTGGAGAACAGCAGTGGAAGTGTTCAAGGCCAGGCTGGAGGGGGCTTTGAGCAACCTGGTCTAGTGGAAGGTGTCCCTGCCCAAGGCAGAGGGGTGGAACTAGATGATTTTTAAGACCCCTTCCAACAAAAATCATTCTATGATCCTGTCTTGCTACCTAACACAGCAGGAAGTTTAGGATAGAGGATAGAGCTGGAGTGGACTAGAGGCAGGAGGAGAAAGAGACGCAAAATGTGGCATGTTGCAATGGGGTAGACAAAGAAACTGGGCATATAAATTTTTGCTGCAGGAAGCAACAAAACAGCCTTTCCCAGGAGGATTAAAAGGAACAGAGCTGTGGAAACCCTCAACAAAAGCCACTGATGCTTTTGTCAAGCCTTGCAGACCCTGATTCAAGGCAGACGGAGCAGTGACTTCAGAGCAAAAACTTCATGTCTAGCATATAATAACAAAATTAGTAGGAAATAAGCCCAGCTGTGTGCCAACCAAATTCTGCCTGTCTACAGACCAAATTCTGTGGTGGCAGAGGTCAGTGTGGCACCATGACAACTCCTAGCAGCCACAACATGTATCAAGGCAATAATTCACTTCTTAACTTTGACCAATAATTCACCTGCCCTTTCATGCAAAGTGTCAGTGAAAATAAGGAATATTATCTTCAGCTTTTCCTGCTTGCTGAAAAGCAGAACGTTTTCTGAAATGGACTGCACCTCTCCCTCTAAGAATTTCCTCCTAATCAAAAAGTTATTTTGTATGAAAAATTAAGTGGGGAATCTCCAGATGCCCTTAATGCAGGGCTACCTCTCTTGGGTGTCATTAGAGACAGTGACTTCAGCA